GTGTCCTTTTGAGTTTTTGCTTGTGTGCCTTTTATAGATACCTAGGAGTGGAGTTGCTGGATCATATGGAAGCTCCATTTTTAACAGTTTGAGAAACATCCACCCAGCTTTCCATACTGGTTGCACTAGTTTGAATTCCCACCAGCAGTGCAGGGGAGTTACTTTTTCTCCACACCCTTGCCAACATTTATTGTTGCTTTTTTTTTTTAATATGTTCCACTCTCAATTGTGTGAGGTGATATCTCATTGTGGTTTTGATTTGCATAATTTTGAGTGATTTCTTAAGGCAACCTGATTTACTTATTAGTTGCTAAATAATGTGGAAATTTGAATTAAATCATTAGCAGTTCTCCCTCTTTCAAAATCAGGCTATCCTGAGAAACGATTCTCTCTGTGAAGACCTATAAAGAATTATTATTGTTATCATGAAATATGTTTATCTTCTGTAAAAGGTGAATAAGTACAGTATGAAAGAAACATATAGGACAACACAAGAACATAGCAATTCTTCAATCCTTTTGCTTAATTAGGAAGAGTGTGACCCACTTTCAAATGCATATGTTTGAATTTAAAACCCATTTAGTCATATCAAGTCCATTCTAATTTTCTTGGACACAGCAATTTAAATGGGGTAGATGGTTTTAGTGTTTTTTTTTTTCTTGGCCTTCATTTCAAGTAGTGATTTCCCCCACTATGAATTGTCTCAGTGGCACCCTGCACTAAATTCTGTTGTTCTCCTCCTCATAATCTGAAGTGAGGTGGAGATCTGTAATAAATAAATCTCTCTTTTCACCATTCGAGGAGAGTCAAAGGAGGAACACAAGCTCCCTCTCTTTTGGAATTTTAAATCTTGAGAAGAGTGCCATAAGGACAGGGAAAAAAAATACATATGATTTTTCTTATGTATTTCAGCAATGACACATGAATGAGACTTTAAGCTCTTCCTGCCTCAAAATAACCTGGATATACTTGGTGTCTGTACTCTCCAAACTTTTTTTTTCAGCCTACTCTTCAAGCTTATGGGTTTTCTTTGTTCTAAAGTTAGTTTCTGTGACTTGTAATTAGCTATCTTGATATATATAGAGAGAGTCGTGCAAAAAGTGAGGTACAAGTATAAACTATTTTGGCTTGTGTTTGTGTGCCTCAAATATATTAAGCCTTCCTTCTCTTGTGCCCACTATTTCCAAGGTCTGATAAAGGAATTAGGAAGGGGCCTCATGATGAGTTCGTGAGGGCGAAGTCCTCATAAATTGAACAAGTGCTTATATAAGAGGCCCAAATGAGCTGCCAGGCCTTTTCATCTTTGGGGATTTAGAAGTCAGCAGTATGCAGTCTGCAAGAGGTCCTCACCAGAACCCCATGACACTTGCACCCTGAAATTGAACTCTCAGCTTCCTACTGTGAAAAATAAATATGAATTGTTTTTAAACCACCAAGTCTTTGGAATTTTATTATAGCAGTCTCAAACAGACTAAGAAAGATCCCATCAGAAATATGTGGGGTGTTTGAAATTGATTAAATTGCTGAGTTAGAATTAAGAACTGGAAAATCCCATTAATATTCTTGTAATGAATCTATAAGTTCACTGCACCAGGTTAAGTGGCAAAACTATTAATTAAGTGCTTACCTGCTGTGGTCACTTAGAAACATTTGCCAATTAAGATCAAGACTCTGGGCAACTAGGTAATAGTTGTTCTGAAACAATGTATATTACATAAAGAATTTCTCTTTTATTGTTCTCACAGCACTTACCAGTAACTGAAATTTTCTTTTAAATTATTAGAATTGTTATTACTGACTTTTCCCCATCCAAATATAAACTTCGTGAGGGCAGACACTTGGCTTATTTTGTTCATGGCTATTCTCTGTAGAGTTCCTGGTGTGTGGTTGATATGAAAAAATATATAAGGAAGGAATAAATTAATTGCAGAACACTGAAATGTTATGTGTGGTCCCGACAGTGTGCTCATCATTAAGTCAGGGTTTCTCAGCTAGAAACTGTCCCTTTTAGACTTGGATCTAGGACTCTGCAAATCACATTTGTTTTTTGTCAGCTGAATCACTGTTAGTTCTTCCAATGGGGGGGACGAGTGGGCACTAGAAAGCTGGAAATGGAAAAAGAAACACATTTCTTTTCCATTCACATCACCACCCCACAGCAGTGATGTTCTGAGTAGCAGCAATGTGAGCTAGTTTGCAGATTTCCTATACTCTATGACCTTCCCAGCATTTCTCTCATAAATGCCATCACCATTTGAGAAAGGTCCCTTCCTCAGAGGCCAGAGTTTTAGCATCACAGGAGGATGGGGAAGAAGGGATAAATGTGCAGTTCTTGCTGTGTGAGATTTCAATATGCAGGTATCTTAGATAAATAGCAGAACTGGAGTCTGAGGAACAGACAGAGGATGGAAGCCAACATGATGCCGCCTAGGCCTGAGACACCATCCTCTCATTGAGCCAATCCCCATGCCATTCCTTATATAAAAAAATCACTAAAATAAGCACTGTAGAGCAGATGTTTTTTTTTTGTTTGTTTGTTTGTTTGTTTGTTTGAAATTTAATCAATTTCAAATTTGGAATGGTGGAGAGAATGCATCTACTTTAACACTAAATTAACAGAGCTTGCAAGAGGGGTTGGAATTTGATCACCTAGATTTTTCAGCTAGTCTTCTTTCCTCCTCATACACAAAAAGGTTCTCCTCTTACTTCTCCACTTTATTCTTTTCTCCTCTTACTTCTCCACTTTATTCTTCACTGGCCCCTTTTCCTATCTTATGCCCAGTAGTTCCAAACAAATCCAGTATGGGGGTTTAAGTCAGATAAACAGTATTATCAAATGGTTCTCAGTATTGAGGCTGATAATCATAAGGGGAATACGAGTAGATTTTCCATCACCACACAAGTTTAATCTGCCCTAATTTTGGAAGGAGAGGACCCTAGAAAAAAAAATTAAAGATTTATTTATTTTTGCATACAAAACTGGGGTACAGGCCAGAGATGCAGGTGTGGTAAGAGGATTCACCAGAGACAAAGCGGGAGTGGAACAGGCAGACTGACAAACTACACAGCTTAGAGGAGCAGCAGGGGAGATGGAAGTTCTTCCATGGCACGTGGTTCACCTGGGGCCAGGGAAGGAACTTGCACTGAAACAGCTGTAGCTAGCATGCTTTGCTGCACCCTAATCCATTGCACAACCAGGGAGGGCCCTATTTTTAAAAATATATATAAATAGATGTTATTTTAGCTTCTTTTTATTTTAAAAAGGATTACTTTCTTCTTTTTTCTTTTCTCCATCACCATCTCTTGTGAATTGTTCATCTTTTTTTTTTTTTCCTTCCTTCTTCTCTTAACTTCAGAAACCTCATTTTATTGATGACCAATAGTAAATAAGTATTTTGTCATGCCATCTGCTAGGTAAATGTCTAACACTTATCCTTGTCATTTTGATGTACTTCACATAATTCCCTTGAACATCTTCCACTTTGCTGGACTGTGCAACATTTCCTCTTTCCTATTGCTAAAAAGTATTCCATAGAGTCCACAATGTGGAAATACCACATCTTACTGAGCTGATTTTCTAGTGATGGGCATTAATGTGCTTCATTAGACCTTGTTATTGTAAAAAACACTGAAATAAACATGGTAGAGCAGTTTTGAGACTTGTTGGTTACATATTCTTCAGATAAATACCAGAGTAGGGCTGGTGAGTCAGACTGTACTTCCTTTGTAGTTTTTAAAGATAAATCCAGATTGTTTTCTAAAATGGCGACACCAATTTATGTCTCCAACGTGTAAAGGAGATTTTCCTTCTTCACAACACAGCCAGAACTTGTTACTGATTTTCTTTTTTCCTAATAATGTACCTTTCTAAGAGAAGGATGTCATAAAGAAAATCTGCAGTCTTATGGACTCCACCCCCTACTCCAGCTTTCTGGACCCTACCCCCTACTCCAGTGATTGGAAACTACAACTCCCAGTGGTACCAGGGAGAGAACTGCAAGGACCCAAGGGCAGAGCTAGCAGGAATTCTGGGACATTTGGGGGATAAATAGGGTGCAATTGCATCTCTTGCTCTTTCGCTCAGGAAGCAGCTCTCCTGACTGTGTTACTCTGTGTGTTCAGTCAACCAAGCCGGTAAGGTATTCCAGTTACTTTGTATCCCGCTCTCTTTCCCTGGGTTGTTTCCTATTCCTTTCCCCTTTTGTAAATAAACCCGTATTGACACTTTTGTGTGTACCTGCAGTATAACTGAATTGTGAGTGCGCAGGTGAGGCCCCACAGACAGGCGGCCCAATCCACTCTGGGCTATCCTGTAACAAAAAGTGTGAGATGATATCCTGTGTGGTCCTAAGATGCATCTCCCTTTTTAAAAGCAACCATGAACATTTTTCCATGCATTTTCTATGATGAACTGTTTGTTCAGATCTACTATCTTCTTTGTCTTAATGACGCTTCAAGTCTTGTCCAACTTGGATCTTCCTCTGAAAACGCAACAAATGGAAATGTAAAACATGTAACAGTAGACTCAACTGAACCATGCACAGGATTTAGGATTATTTGCCCAGTTCAGATCTGTGCCAGGAGTCCCTGGTAGCCCAAGTTGGTATTTCATAACTATTGCCCCAGTGTGCATCTCAGACTCAGAATTTTCATGAATATTTTTTCATTTTTAATTAAGTATGGAGCCTATTTTTTTTTAATTGCAGTAAGCTAAATCTGGAAATGTTTAGTACATCTGCTTACCAAGGAGTATGAGGATCAGGCAATGAAGTAAATGGATATTTTACTTTAGCTGGTGGTTAACTCTGTCAGGTAACCCCAAATGACTGGCATATCTTCAGGCAGGACTTTTCAGAGTTGACATGACTAACAACTTCCCTTTCAAAGACAGCATGAGGGCTTCTCTCATAAAACAATAAGCTTGCTTACAAGAAGCTACGAACATCTAATTACTTCAAGAGAGAGTTGAAGTAACAGGCAATGGTGCAGCTACTGCCAACCCCATCACTGGTGCACTGGTCACTACCGCAACCCCTGTGGGCACCCGCAGATGACCGGAACCACTCGGGTTGACCTGAGTGAGGAGAATAATACGCACGATTTTTTGTTAGGAACACGATGCTGAATACAAATGGAATAAAATTGAGAGGTTCTCTGATGCTGCAGCATCTAAAATTTTGCAAAATAATAAGATCAAAAATCACAAAGCATGAATTATAGACAAAGACAACATTGCTGAGTTTTACCTCATAAAATAATAATAAGATGGTGCTCTGAATTTGGGTGATAGTAGAGTAGATTTGATAATATTTGGGCAGAATACATACACATTAAATTGATAAAATCCTGACAATTATTACTCTGCTTAATTTAAAATTCATATAATCAATATACACATTTTATACTATATTTAGATGAATTGCTTAAAATTTTACAAATAACAATATTTGAAAATTGCTTCTGAAAAGAACTGTAAGGCCAACAATATAATAAAATGAATTTATTAAAAGTACTCAAAAAATTAAGTAAGTTTAATTTTTTGGTGTTCCTTTTATCAGTGAGAAGCATCCTGGTTTGTATTTGGCTTGATTTGTTCTTAAAGATATATTTATTTATGCCTACAAAAACTGGGGTATAAGACAGAGGTGCAGAGGGGTGAGAGGATTCACCAGAGACAGAGTGGGGAGCAGAACAAGCAGACCTAGTGAAATACAGTGCTGAGGGGAGCAACGGGAGAGACAGAAAAGGTCCCCTGTACCATGTGGGTCAGCTGAATTCGTGCCACAGTGGCTTCAGATAGATTGATAGCATGTTTTTTTTTATGCTTGCACCACCAGGGAGGCCCCCTGGTTTGTATTTTGATAATAACTGGACCTGCTGAGAAATAGGCAGGAGACCCTTCAGGAGACTCCTAGCTTATACAATAATTTTTTTCCTGTAGGAAGGACAAAGTTTAGGTTCCAGAAATCCTTCCCCTGATTAAAATTTTACATCAAAAGATGCTGTATTCTTTGCAGAGTCATAAGACTCTGTGCTACTATTCAGACAGAAGATGCAACATTGTTGATCCCTAGAGTACCCCCAGTTTCACTCTCTAGTTTCTTCAGTGCAAACAAAGAATTGATCCTAGAGAAGAGCAGGTGCTTACTTAAGTTTAACCAGGTGTGGTGATTCCAGCAGCAGATGCCATTCCAGGTGCAGCCTCGCTGCTGGAGTAAATCATCACAGCTCTGGGCATATGGTATGCAACTGTTAGCCTAGTGAATATTGTATTTCGTCCATCATAGTTAAAGAAATCAACATACCTCAAAGTAATCTGCTGCACTTTGTGCCACCGCATTTATTATATATTTGCCTGAAAAATATTGTCAGTGTTCACTTGTATTATAAATTAAGAAAAACATCTATCAAAAGGGATTTCTTAGTATATCTGTAACATTAGATGCAACTATGATTTATTTGACAGCCTAAATCCTAATATCTCTCCATAGTACAACTAATTTGAATCTGTTAACATTTAACATGTTTAACATGCTTTCTGCTACTTTTAGTTAAATTGATTTCTGGATGTTAGTTGACCAAAGCCCCTCTGCATAAAATTACCTATTGTCACTCAAGTTACTATATCGTCCAAGTCTTTGTCTTAATATTTATTTGTCTATTTTTTAACAAGACAGAATTGTGACAAGCATTTGTTTCATGACTTTAATTAGATTCAATACAAAAGTAGGAACAGCTGACTCAGATTTTATCCTGAGTTTGATTTATGCTTTCATGAAATCATAGTGTGCTAGATAAAAACTGGTGTCCCAACTCAACAGGACTTACAGTGGCATTTTGTCTTTTCAAGTGGCATCATTTAACCAAGAAAAAGGAAGGCAGTCTTCCAAAGCCGAGTAGCTGCCAGTAACCCCAATTGCACTTATGAGGGGCAGCTTCCTGCTAAGTATTTGCTGATAAACTTGGAACTGCTACACAGCACACATCAATTCAAATTTAGCTGCTTCAAAGAGAAGAACATTTTTAAACAATACTGTTCAGAGAGGAAGGGAGATCAGAGAAGATGGTGATGGGGAGGAGAAAAATAAGAAAATAAAAGGACAGAAATTCCAGAAGATGAGTGGGACAAATTGTTTTTTCTTCTACTAAGGCAGTTTTAGAATTTTTATTTCAGCATTCTGTTGTACCAATACAACCACAGTCTTCAGACAACATCAGAATGAGTAGTTAGTAATATAATAAGAAACTCTAAAAATTGAATTTTTCCAAACTTTGTGTTTGCATGAAGATATTAATAATAAATACTAATTGTCCCATGAAACTATCATCATTCATTAAATACTGACAATATTCTAGGTCAGGAGTGGCAAATACTTAGCTTTAAATGAGATCTTTGGATCTCATTAATAGATCATGATATGCTTAACTGAATCCAGATGAGGTATCAAATATCCCTGTTTAACGAACATAATACATTCTTAAGACTACATGCTGGGTACGTAGCAAACAATAAATACTTAAATGATCTTTCTTTTCTAGATAAAATATTGAGTGCAGAATGGTACATCTTTTTTTTTTTTTTTAATCTATACCATTGTCCTCCTACAATCTGTAGTGAATTTATCACTAATTCATAGAGGGAATAACAAGTAAGGGAAGAGGATTTTTCAAAAGACTAATGTGGACACTCACAATGTTGAGTTAATTTCTGCTTTTTAGAAATCAAGTCAAGTTATGATAAATACTCCCATTTTTACCTCAGCATATGACTCCTACATACAGGAAACTAACCATTTTTATTTCTCACCTCATTCGTTACAAATTAAAAAAAAAAGGTTTTTAGATTCTTTGAATTTCTATAACAATCTATAACAAGTGCTTGGGTATTTCAAATCATAATTCTATATGTATTTATAAGTTTTTCCAGAGTTTCCTTCCACTGCAGAAGATGACCTCTGTCATGGTACCTGTTGTTTCTGGCATTTCTTAAAGGACTGAGATCTTTGAAACAGCAAAATATTCTAATCATGTACTTAATGAATCCAGACTTGGGATAACTTGACATTCCAGACACTGATAACACCAAGGTGAAATGAGTAATAACAACAATCTAGTTTTTCTTTCTAGGCTAGTCCAGGGAATGAAAATCCTATGCAAAATATAAAGCATGGTTTTGTTGAACACATATCCACATGCACATTATACATATAAACCTGCTTGACTTACTAAAGGAAACTAATCTTTCTGATTTTTGTTGTTCAGTGAACATGTTTAATGACTTATAGATCATCAGAAGATACTGTGATTAAATGTGATAGAAACCTTACAGCTGTTTGTCAAAGGCCAGGTTTCAGAAACATAAGAATATTTCTGACGATCCCGATATTTCTACTGCACTAAAGAGTTATTCTTGAGCAGATTTCTTCATATTCACAGGAGATCCAACAGTACATGCATGATGGTGTCCTGAATGATTTTTACTCACCAAAAAAGCATATTTTAAACATTACTTATAATTATTGCATTAAAAAAAAAAAACTTGACAAGTTTACCAACCTTATTCAAAATACCAGGTGTTTAATGTACAATTTGATTCCTTCCATCAACTGTGAATACAAAGGAAAAATGAACTTTATCTGTACATCTTTGGGAATACTTAATCTACAACCCAACTGTGTTTTTGTATTATGTATAGATTTTCATGTAGTTGGAATTTTGCAAATGTGAGCTACCCTGAAGAATATAAAGAGAATTGATATAAACTGATAGCAAAATGTAGTGAAAACATACCCTTATCCTGTTTCTCACTTTTAAGTATTTTAATTAAATGTCAGCAATATTTATTGATTCATTATAGTAACTACAATGTATTTTCTTTTTTCCACACAATAATAACAAAATACAGGATTAACACTGAAATATAGAATTGCCCACTTATAAAAGAGAATAATATTAATTGACTCACTTCATATCATAAGTTCTCCAGTAACCCATGGTCTGCTGGATAGTCAGAAATGTGAAACCTATGGCTGGTATTGATTTCTTCACATAAAATACTACAATAACAGCACTGCACTTAGATTCTATTTTTCCTCCATCCACTTTTCCTACCTTTTCCTAATCTACTCTTCCTCCATATGCATTCCTTGGCACTTAGCTAAGAGCTAAAAGGCAGAGACAAAAAAATGCTATTATGTAATTCCTACCATATTCCAATCACTGAGTTATTTAAACATTATTTCATTTAATCTTCTCAATCATCGTCAGTCAGAGACAAACTCCAGAGTCTACTTATTATCTTGAGTCCCACTAAGTAGCAGACACTGGACTAAAACCCTTTCTACTTCTCCAAGAAAAGAGTTGTTTAGAAGCAGTGTCAATAACTGGTATATAAGGTTTAGTATGGGGCTTATTGCCTTTACCATGAAGTCATAATGTAATCAAAGTCATATTTAAGGATGCTTATGTTCCAAAAGCTCATTGTCCAGGCCATTGGTTAGAAAATTAGAAAATAAAATAAGGTTATGCCTACCATGCCAAAAATAAATACCAAGTAGGTCAGTTTATTAAACTTTTACAATGTCATGGAAGAAGGGTCAGCAATGTCTTTTTGGCCCTCTCCGCGGCATTGTCCCATTGTCTGAAATGGTACAGTTGTGTGCTTTACCCACTACTAGTCTTCATAGAAAAGTGCTTTTGGAATTTCTCTTATTTTTTAGGCTTTAATTTTACGCAGTGAATAAACATGTTAAGGTCATTGAATAACAGGTAAAGACATCGATATGTAGTAATTTTTATAAATATTTGAACATGGTAAATGTGATGGAAATCCTTAGGCTTTGCATTTTATTATAACTAAGGTTAACCTTGTGTATTGCTTTATTCTCCCACTCTGCTTCTGGAGCTTGAAATCTTTCTTAGTCACTGCTGCACATTCTGTAACACTGCTCTTTGTCTGCACTCCCACAATGCATTCTTGCTTTTTCTCCTCCTTTCCAAAACACTCACGAAACAACTGATTCCTTGTAGTATATGTGTTGCTTCAAAGCCAAATTTAGTACTATTGTATGAATGCCCACAAAGCATGGGAAGGCTGGCAATCCAAACATGATGGCCGTATTCTTCATTTCATTTGAGGCTTTTAGAACCTAATACACAGAAGTTATTTT